AGTGGACGGCATTATAGGATTAATTATTTGATACTTTTCCTGATTAGTGTATTTGTTATGAGTATTTCTGTTAGCGTTTCAAGGACTTAACTACAGTGTATCACAGTGTCACTCAAATATAATTAAGACCCCCTCACTGTAATTGCATAATTAAAAAGCTGTCTGGCTGCTGGTACAAAACCGCCTGTCTCTGCTCTACAGTAGCTCAGTTTTCCAGAGGCAACTCCTCAAAACTCCAGCCCTCCCTGAAATACTTGAGTGTAGCATGCGAGCGGGTACATCGTTGGTACCCTGCCGTGTCTGTTGGGCCTTCTATGACAATCCCTCAGCTCTTGCTCTTTCATCCCCGGCTGCCTTCTCCCTGCTGGTCCATGTCCCGTACTCTTCCCAAGCGGAGGGCAGGCAAGGCATCCCTTTGGGATTCAGGCAGGGCAGGCCCGCTCACCGCTGGTTTCCCCAGGGCCTTTATGCCATGATGGTGTGACTATGGAGGCATGAGGGAGGGGATGGGGTGGCCAAGCCTTCACCAATTCATTTTTTTTAACCTATCGGTGCTTAGAGTGAGAATTGCTCAGCTTCCCAAAGCAGAAGTATGGGTGTTTATAGGCTAGTGCTGAAGTGGCTGCTGGCAGGAGGGGGTTAAATTTCTTTTTATTTATAATGTGCTTTTGAAACAAAACTTCATGACCTGGCTTTTTCTTCTTTTTTTTTTTTTTTTTTTTTTTTTTTTTTTTTTTCAAGTGATTACACTCTGCTGCATTATAAGGGAGCGAATGCATTTGTGTCTCAGGACCGTACCCTACCAGATACTGACATGTTCAACATCTCCTGTGGCTTACCAAACACATCAGGGATGTGGACCTCCCTCTGTTTTCTCATTATGCCAAATAATGAAATGTGGAAATAATTCTAATCCTTTCTTCTGGTTGTGCTGTACCTCTGAAAATATGATAAACTCAATCCAATTAAAAGTCTTTACCTCTACAAGGCTCAGTCTCTATCTATAACCTTTGTTTTATAATTCACTCTGTTATCTGTCTTCATTTTAATTTGGTAGAATAGCCATCTTGTACTACCACTTTCTGTTAGAAAGAGGCATGTGATTTCCAGTGCTACTTTGTGAGACATCTCAGTTTAAAACAGTAAAGGTCTACTAATGAGTAAAAAGAAGTTCAGTTGTGCCGATTTATTACATTGAGATAAAGTTTCATTTGCGTTGATTATAATACTATAGGTTTAAGTAACGGTTTTGATTTTAAAAGGTTCTTTTGCAACAATAGTTTTTCACTGTATTAGGGACTGTTAAAGTGTGTTACCTTTTCTGTCTTACTCTAGCTGATACAGATTTAGTTAAATTTTGTTCCCAGTTAGTATTTTCTATATATAAGTGGCTGATCTCACTAATTCACATTTAACCTTCCCGTCCTTAGTTTTCTCCTAAGCACGTTGGCTTCTCGTGCCATGTCAGTGTGAGAATAAATGGCATGTTTACCATTATGGCAATAGAACAATGAACAAAAGCTGGTTCCTCTAATCCATTTTCCTCCCTTAGCAGTGACCAGGACTCGGGGCTCAAAATTTCAAGGCAGCTTATTTTTTCCCTTGGGTCCACTCCATGTAGAGAGTCATGAAGGACGTTAGTGAGTATGTGTTAGCTGCTGCAGCTCCACTCGGTTGAAATACTTTATTAAGATACAAATTTAAGCTATTAGTTAGAGTTTCAGCATGCTTTGGGCTGCCTCCCAGACGGCGTGGATCTCTCCAGACTCCTTGCTAGCTGCAGATCTGGCCCACAGTATATCAAACCCTACAGCTGGTATTTCCCTCTTCTTTTACCCCCCGCTCTGTGTAACCCAGAAAAGATTTTGAAAGTCAAATATATATTTATTCCATTGAGGAAACTTTATCAACCAGCACCAAAGTTTATTGGCACTAGCTAGTGATATAATGGGTAGTTTAAACCCTGCTAACTGCGAATAATTTTTCAGCAGTGTTTATGATTGCAGTAGACTCTAACAGACCAGAAGTACAGATAACATAAATATTTCTACCAGAGATGATTGTACTGGAACTATAAATAAAATTAGACTTAACTTGTAAATAAATTCAGTGTGTGCCAGCCAACATTTATAATTCTTTGTTGCTGCAAGTAATACAGTAGTTTATATGGAAAGAGCAGAGGAACACAAGCAGCCAAATTTTGCTTTTCAGTTACGCAGGTGCAACTTCCCCTGACATCAAGCGGAGCGGCTCCCGTGCAAATGAAAGTAGAATTTGACCCGTAGTCTCTCAGTGCTGGACCCTAATTAAAAGCCAGCGTCTGGTCCACATCAGATGCTTTTGACTGCGTTACTCAATTAGACATGAATGACACTAGACAGAGCTCCGAACGCTACCAGTTATTGTAGGGGCTGATAGTGAGAATTGCCAGAGCTGACGGGCAGGTCCCTACACAGTTACTATATTATGACTTTGCTGGTCTAGTACCAACACTTGGCAACCCTGAAATTACCCTGTCTCAAAGGCCTGATGCTCTTGAGTATGTGTGTGACTTTGCTTCTCACTCGCCTGTGGACACATTTCTCCCAAGTGCTCGGTGCTCATCCTACCCTCAGGAGCTCGCTTCTGCTCCCAGTATAAGCCTCTTGTTTCAGGGTTATTTTTTCTGTAGACACAATAATTTAAGAAGCAAAAGCTGCTTCCCACGCAAGGAAGGTTTTTAATCTTTTAATGATCCGCACTGTCATTACCGATGTGCAACGAGGCACAGACAGAAGCCACCGGCAGCGCTGAGCCCTTTGCACGGGGCGCTCCCGCGGTGATCCAAACTGAGCTCCCTTTCCTTTCCACACGGACACCGCAGCCCGCGGCGCAGCACCGTGAAAAGTTGGCGATTTCCACACTTCAGCCCCAAAGCACGCAGTGCTCAGGCTGCCTTTTTCCGCCTGCCTTTGTCTGCGCAGCTTTTCCTACAACTCCCTCTTCTGCCGGCGCCGCAGAAGGGTTTGCTCGGCGTGGCTCGGCTCTGCGGTGCAGGGAGGCTTTGCTGACCGCGCCGTGCGAATGCCCTCTGCGATCTGCAGCGACACGAGCACGAAGGGAAAGCTGAAATCTGGGCATCGCGTTTCCCTCTCATTTTGGTACCTTAGCATCAGCCTGAAGAAATCCGAGTGACTTTGGCTAACTCCAGGACAGACACTGATCTCGTTTATTCCCAGGTGGATTTAAGTTGTGTAAGAGAAGTCGGAATTTGGCCTTTGGGGCCACGGCACGGGTGCTTTGGTCCCCCTTGCTCTTGTTGCATGGTCCGTGGTTTTCAGGATTGGACCTTTTGAGTGTGTTCAGGACAGCTTTGGTTTTCTCATGTTTGTGTCAGGGTCAAGTAATACGAGTATGCAAAATACCCATGCGTTTGAAGGATAATGTTTGTGAAAGTATTTTTCCTTAGTAATTGAAGTAATGATTCAAAACTGCTTCAAGCGCCGTGTTTATCTCTACACTTGCTTGTAATCTCTTTTGTTGTACAACCAAACTTTCTATTTGTAAAACAGTTTTTCTCTCCCCTGTTAGTTTTATGATTTTTCACCTAATTGGGAATTACTAGTTCTATTCCGTTTAGAATCTAATCTCATTTGATTAGGTCTGTCTGATGCTTTTCACAATGGGGTCCTGCCTGGGGCCCCCAGACTGTGTTACAATACAAATGATAATAAATAACCGTCATCAGGTCCAGCTCCACAGAACAGTTCTGTGAATAGGGAGCGGCACAAACCAGTTTCAGGTACGTTAACTGATAAAACGTTCAAGTAGAGTAATGTAGCTCTTGGCTAGAGTCCCTTCTGTGTCTGGAGATAGTAACCCAACCTCTGCATGTTTCTAAAGCTAAGGATCCTTCTCTGCTTCTCCTCTAGAAGATGTGACAGTGGCCCCCCCCTGAGCCATGCCTACCTGCTGTGGGACTGTCGGGTGGCTCCCGTGGAGTTCATCACTCCCTACATGCTCCTTTTGAAGCTAATGGGTTTCCTTCTCTTAATTTTCTGCTTTTCCTGACCTCCTGTGTTCTAGAACGATGTGGATATATTTTGTAATCAATCAGGCCCTGCCTGTAACAGTTTTTTCTTTAATACTTGTTCAAACAGAAATTCAGATAAAGGTGTCTCATTTGTATGCAACGGGAAATGCTTGCCTCCTTTTTAGATATCCCTGCAAATACTCCACGCTGATTTCCTCAGCGCTGAATAGAAATGCTAGGTCAAACAAATATAAATGCTCTCTGGTCTCTTTAAAGGATCCGACCCCGGGCTTTGTGGTACATTCAGGTCCACCCTCGCCTTACCCAGAAGGGACTAATTCACTCGATCCTAATATGTTCCCTGAAAGCCTTCGTTAATGCATCTTCACCAAAGGCTCATATCAGGCATGGTCAACAGCACTAGTGGAGCGCAAAGCTACTGACATGTGATGGACTTCTCCCATCGAACAGAGCCAGGTCCTTCCGATGTCATCTTTCTCACCTTTGAGAAGTTGCAGGCATGAACCTGTGTGTATCTCCTCATTGCAAAGAGCCACTTCCACATTTATCTCAGCTGTTACTTTACCCTGCTTGGAAGATGATGGCATTAGAAACACTTCTGAAGTAGGCTCTCTAGATGCTTTTGCTTCCAGCCTACCTCCTTCATCCAGAGTAATCAACTATCCAGCTTATGATTAAGTCACTGGTGGGCATGTGCATGAGTCCAAGTGCAGAGAACTGGATTTATGTGCTAGAGAGTTTATCAGTCAATAGTTGCTTTGGGAATGTATATCTTCAGGCAGAAATTGCCTGAAGAAAGGGAGAATGCATAGTCTGTATGGATACGTTTCTGTTTGTTAGGGATGGCTTTGGGTCTGGAGATCTGAATGTAGTCTTGATCCTTGGAGGACTTTGTGTGAACTTTGAGATGAAGACCACCCTGAAATGCTGATACGTGTAATACGCTAGCGCGTCCCCTTGATGTGAGATGCCGTCGTGCGGCATTTCAGCTGCAGAAAGGCATGGTTTCATTGAACGTGTGGCCCAGTATGATTTTGAAAACAGCACGCCTGTGCCTCGCTGGCGATTGCAGCCGGTAAAAAGCGGTTGGGTTGCGTTCAGCAACCTCTGTCTCTCTCAGTTGTTAGTGCCTCCTACCTAATTGCTCTCGCAGAGGATAAGCGTGCTGAACTGCTAAGAAAAATCCAAATGGAAGGAAGTGCTCTCCTCCTCCCAGCCATGCACAGGAGCCCTCTCGGTCTCAAAATGACCCCAGGCCCCGGAGTTAAGGCGGTAGCTTTGGCACATGGCTCTCCCATCTTCATCAGGCACATCCCCAGCACGCAGCCACGTGGACTCTTTCCTGCTGGCGTGCAAGGTTGTGTCAAAAGTGCAAATGCAGGTGTCCTCCCTGGTCTTTTAGTAGCAATTAACCTTTCCTCCTGGGTTTCCTTTGAAGCTTGCTCATGTTTTTGTTGTAAAATAGCTGTGAAGAATTTTATGGAGGCTAATATCTAAGCTTCCACATTACCTCATCTCATCTGTTCCCTTATCAGGGGCCTCGATTTTACTTTACCCCATCTCTAGCGGGGATAATTACTGGACTTTAAAGAAGCCATCTTGAATTTCAAAACTGCAGTGCTATCTGTGTGAATGATTTGCAGTTCACTGGGAAAGCGATGCTTACCAGCACAGTCCCTGGGTCTCATTGTAACCTCACAAAGATTTTCTATCAGTCAATATCCCATAGTTTTGGTGGAAGTCCCTCTGATCTCTGTGGGTGTAAATTTTAAGGGGAACAGTCCCACACCCTTTGAAAATGAAGACCATATCCTGGTTCATGGACATTGATTTTAATACAGCTCCTTCTATCGCTAATTTCACAAATATGTCTTAATGGTCTTCCTGTCTCTTGGTCAGTTGTAAGTCAACTTCTTGTTTATTTTGAGCTTTTAAAATATATATTTGTTAGAATACGTTGCTATTTCAGGCAGAAGAATATTTCAGTAATCCGTTTTACCCACACTGTTAGGGCTTTGGGACATATAGGCGTATTATATTTTCCAGAGCTTTCAAACTGAAAGCCCGTGTTTAACGACGACATCGGGTGTGGCTGCTGGAAATCAAAGGAGGCACAATAGACCCAGCAAACGGACTTGTCTCGCTGCCAGGCTTCCAGAGGCCGATTTATCAGCTGCAGGTTTGACCCTATATGGCTAAAAAATGAGCGTAGCCAGAATGACTGAGATAAGTATAACTGAGGCCTTTGAGTCTGCGAGAGAGAAATTAAACTGGACTGTCCCTGGGGGAGAAGAAACATCTGCAAAGCTGTGCTTGCTAATTGTTTAAGGCTCGGTTTGTGGGCAGGCGCTGCTGGCAAGTGGGGCTGAGGAAGGTGGCCCTTTGGGGAAAGGCACAGAACAGGTCACTGCTTGCCGTGACTTAAACGATTTGGTTGTGCTGCTTCGTTCTTCGGCGGAGGAGAGTCGAGCGTGGCCATGGGGCACAGGGAGAGCAGCCTCGGTTTTATGGGGCGCTGCTTGGTGGGATGGGGACGACAGAAGTGAGCACGTGAAATGGGCTTTTTAAGGAGTTTGAGTGTCAGGCACCCAGCTGTCATGGAAAATCAGTAGGATTTAGATGCCTGAAGTTTTTAAAACCCCCCTTCCAGTGAGCCATGTGCTTATCATCATCCAGATCACTTTCCTTGTGCGATTTCTCTTCCTGCACCCCATGTGTATACATGGGTTAGGTTTTTTTCCTGCCCCCCTTGTTTCAAAAACAGCTGAAGTCTTTTAGGCAGGACTGCAATCTAAACAGCTGGGGGAAGACATCTGAACAGGAGTGAGCCTGCCCTGGGCGGATGCAGCATCGCTGCCGGCCCGTGAAGGCAGGGAGCTCATCGGAGTTTCGGGGATGCTCAGGAGGTGTTAGACCAACCTCTCTCACCTCTCCCACCGTGCCGGGGCAGAGCCATGTTTGGGGGCAGCAGCAATGCCATGGCATAACAGAGATGGCTGCTAACGTGGTCGTTTCAGTGCAGAGTGAAATGAAGGGTGACATCCAGGTGGAGCTGTGTCCCTACCCTTTTCATGTCTTCTTTCCTGTTACTTGGAGTCCAGGTTGAATTTTGCTGTGGGTCAGCCCTGGGAAAGTATGGGCATGGGCTCGTAGGAGCAAACTCTGCACCAGTGCTTTCACGAGCCCTTGAGCATCTTTGCCAAACTTGGCACCGCTAAGCTGTGACAGGCAGGATTTCTGAAGCACGAGTGATGGAAAACCCCTCTGTGTGTCCTTCTCAGCTAAACGGTAGAGTCAGTCAAGATTTTCTACTTCTCAGAGCCCCAGGTATTAGAAAAGTGACAAACTAATCGATAATTGGGTTCAATCGTTAAAGTGCAGGGAGAGTCTGCCAAACCAAAGGCCAAAGGAACGGGTAGCTGAACTTTCTTGTGACATGTATGAGGTCATAGCCAGTGCCACATAAAAGAAAGAAAAACAGTTCATGGCTGTGAATAAATTGCTCGCAGATGAAGAATCCAGTTTGCCAGTCTTGTGATGGGAGCAATCTATTCAAATGATTTGTTATGTCCCAGTGTTTGTCTTAGGCAGTACCAGAAGCATGAAAAGTACAGATATAAAACTGTGAGATAATATGTAACAAAGATGTGAGAGATAATGGGCTATGACCAGTTTCCAGTGGAAAAGGCATACGGTGCTAATCTACCATGGATAGTTTCTTAAATGAGCAAGAAATTGAAAGAACATTTTAAAGTTTCCTGTTTCTTCTCTGAAACGGAGTAATTCTGAACGCCAAGCCCAGCGTAACACTTTAATTTCTGGGCCAACCATATTATGCAAATATCCTCATGCTCAGATCTTAAATACCTGATCTCTCAACTTCATTCCTTGGAGAATAGTATTCTCGCCTCCTGTTTAGGTTAGAATTAAGCAGAATGAGCTCTGGTGTGTGGGAAAAGTGCGGTAACATTAATAAAGTTAAATGAATGTAAATAATGAAGAAGTTTTTTGGTTAGTTTGTCTTTTTGTTCCTTTTGCATGTATTATTGGGTTGAGCACTAAATTGGTGGTGCAGCTAAAGCCCCTGCTGAAGTCACTCAGAGTTTTTTGACTAAAAGGAATTTACAATCAGCCTTACATTTTGAGCTGTCAAAACCAGTGAGTTTTTCTTTTTTCTTCTTTTTTTTTTCTTTTTTTTTTTTTTTTTCTTTTTTTGTTTGCTGGCTAAGCCCCAAGGATGAAGTTTTTTTTTTTTTAATGTGTTTTGGATCTGTCCCAGGTTTTTTTGCAACTGTAAGAGGAGAAGGTTCATGTTCTCTATAAGGTGCTGTTTGGATCCTGAACTTATTTTAGACCATTGTGTTTCTTGGAGGTCAATGGTAAGACACTGATTTACATCAGCTGAAGTTCTTGCCAAGAGTTGTGTGGTAGGCTGGATCCTTTCCTCCAAAGACTAATTGGAGGCCATCAAACTTAATTTTGGCTACTTTAGGTTCAATCTGTCTCTCTGAAAGATCAGTAAAGCTTTCCTGCTTTTCACTTCACTTAGATTTCAGTTGTGACATATAATGCTGGCTTTCAATTGTAATTTCAAAGAGTATGCAATGCAAAGCGCTATATCCGGATAATAGGGTGTGCCTGCGTATACATCTGTATGTAATTCCCTCGCTTGTGTTCAATGATGTAAACCACTTTTGATGTCAGGAATATTGAGAAAAACACTGTGTACCCCCAGGCCTACAATAGGGAAAAGGCTCAGCTCCTTCCAGGGTGAGGCTCTGCTGCGGGACTAGTGATTGATGAAGGTGCCACCCGCCTACCAAACTGTCCTCTCCATTTCAAGTGCAGGCTGAAAGGGTTTCATATGCAAAATCTGTCCGTATATTTCAAATCCTACTGTTTGGCTTTATTTTCCAGGTGATGAATGTTTGTACGAAAGCTTTCCTGAACTTCCTTTGGAGGAAGCGCCAGAAGCTGATGGAGAGGCTGCAAACATCCAGTGTCCAACATCCGCCAACATTCAGGAGCCGTCTTCTCCAGCAACCTCCAGCGAAGCTTTCACGCCAAAGGAGAGCTCTCCTTACAAGGCTCCAATATACATTCCCGATGACATTCCTATTCCTTCAGAGTTTGAGCTCCGAGAATCCAACATTCCTGGAGCAGGATTAGGGATATGGACCAAAAGGAAGATTGAAGCAGGGGAGAAGTTTGGCCCTTTTGTAGGAGAGCAGCGGCCACACCTTAAAGATCCCAGTTACGGTTGGGAGGTAAGACACTTTACATTCTTTCGGTCTGTTGAACCCTCTTGCGTGTCTATAAACACAGAAATATTTGTAGAATTTGAGTCCTATCCTGCAGCAGCCAGGGGAAGTTTGTGTGTACGAAGACTGCTCTGTGGCCTTTCGGGGCTTTCTGGATGGAAACAAGTGTAAATTGAAAAAGAAAAAAGGCAGGAATTGTTGTTGCTCTTCATGCATGAAATCTGTCTGGGTGGATATTGGCAGGTGATGCCCCTTTTGGGGAAGGAAAGGGAGAAGTTGCGTTGCTGGAACGTTTCTGTACCATTTTTGGTCTGCTCTTGTGCAGTCCTGCCGTATGTCTGTAGGGGAGGGATTTGCGAATGACACTGCACTATCTATTTGAAAAGAAACTGGGTGCTGCTTTCAGGGTTGTGTATTGCCGCTTTTTGTTGACAACGGTTAGAATAGCCCTAAAATCTGGCATTGTGTGGCTAAAATTGCTACTGCAGAACCTTGTGCTACTCGAGGACTTTGAAAGCTGGGGGTTTGATCCTGGTTCCATTTAACTTAACGGGAATTTTGCCATTCATTCGGTGAAAGCACGTTTGGACGCTGGTGTCAAACCTAGCACACGTGGGGATGGTGCGGCTCATGTTACTTCTGCAGATGCTCTGAGAAAGGTTGCTTTTCTTGAAGGAGCTCAAGGCCTCCTTTGGCGAGTGCAGCGGTTGCCTCTTGCTTTCCCTGCCTTTGGGGTTTTTCTCGCTGTGATATCACCATGGAGCTGGCTGAGTTGCAGGTCCACGGTCAGGTCAGGGCTTTGGACCTCAAGTGGTGCGTGCACGTTGCCCGTTGTGTTATGGTGTAACAAGCGTTCTTGCATGGTTTTTATTCATAGTTTTAACAATGTGCTGTAGAAACAGAGTGCAATCTCAGCTTTCCATCTGGTCGTTTCCTTTGGTTTCTGATAAGGGGAGAAGTGCAGAGTTTGCACGGCTCTCCAGGGGCACGACTGACCTCTGGAGAGTTGGGAGGTTCATTTTCCCAGGAAAAATGGAGTTCTGCTGTGGCGCAGAGCCTTGCAGATATGGTGGAAAATAGAGGTTTGATTTGCTCTTAACTGTCCGTAAATACTCGGTGAGTTCATTCCAAACTTTCCATCTAGTTGTTTAAACTCTGGTGAGACCTGTGACAGTATGACAGAGTAGTGTCAGGAGAAATTATAGACTCGGCAGCACTCTCTTGAGTTAACAGACCCTGATGCAATATAATTCCTGGTGAGAAATCTTTATTATTTGAAAAAGGCACCAGGAAGCCATACAATCTGACTTTTAACCACACCACAGTTAAACTCAGATATTGATAACAGAAATTGGAGCAAAACTGCTGAGACATGGCTGTATTTGCAGGCCCAAGATATACCAAAATTAGGGTATTTTTAGGGTATTCCTCAGGTGGTATAGTGCAGGATAGCCCCGCTAATATTGAGGGAAACCCGTCTTGATTTTCACACCCTTAGACGTTGATAATATACTGTAATATTAGAGACTAGTTTTCCTGCTTAAAATATTTAGGATTTTGGGGTCTACGAAATCCACACAAGAAATGCATATCTTGATAGTGCTGGAAGCCCAGCTGGCAGACTGAATCCCTTTCAAGCTGCAGGACTCATGCCGTCTGAACAGCGTTTATGTATTTGGGACAGCTGGAGAGAAGCTATTGAAAAGCATTGGAGCAAAATCACACAAAATCAACGGTCGGGTCCCTCTGCAATTTGGCCACTCATCTAGAAGTACTCTGCAGTGCTCAGGGGAGCTTGAAAGAGAATATTTTTCCACCAAGTGGGTTAAGTACATTTATTGTAATTGAAGGGAGACACAGAAATGCTGGTTACCAGAGTTTACACAATGAGTAAAATGGCACGTAGTGAAGGTTAAGGCTAAAGTACAGATGTGGGGGACTTGGTAGTCTGGAGAAGACCTTCCCAGTGGCCATCCCAGCCCAGATGGTCATCACGTCACTGCTCTGGAAACGGCCACTACTTTGAATCTATGTCTTGGGATAAAAAAGGGAGGAAAAAGCTGTTACTGGTGTGTGGGCTCAGGCAGCGTCAAAGGAAGCGTGGGATGGTGAGGGAAAGGTATCATTTATTGAGGTTTAGGTACGGTCTTGGGAAGATGAGCTTTTCTGGTATCAGCTTTTCTGCCTGAATGGGCACTTTTGTGAAACAGGGTGTTTCTCCTGCCAGGTGCCAATAAGTCAGTTAACAAATGGGGAATTCGGTCTGCTGTTGCTGATATCAAGGTGAAATTTCATTATTATATTTTAAATGGAGGAAGGATGGAGCCAAAGTTTCTGTATGGTACTGACTGTGGATTTAAATGACTTTGTAGTATGAGAGGTTTTAAAATCTTTTTTTCCACAATGATACCTGCATGCTGAGTGAATTGCACTGATGTAGCTGCTGTCAAAATATTCTCTTATGTTTGATTAGATGTAATTCCTAGAATAGTTCATGGCGCTATAGAGGTCAGCTGTGTCTGGTGGCTTCAAAAGGCGAGCTCCCTCAACCTGCTCAAACTGCTCGCTGGTCCCACAGGCCGAAGAAAGCATTTTGCTGCATCTTGGCTTACTTGTTTCTTCACCTCACATTGCTCAGAGAAATACGTGGTGGGGTTGCAACATTGCTAATGTTTGTGCGCTTATTTAATTCTCTTGAATAGACTCCCCTGCAGCTATAGTGAGGTTGACTAAGTGATTGGAAAATCAATCTTTCAATTTTATCTGCATTTTTCTGAGTTTAAGGTGAAACACTGAACATACAATGGTGTTTGGCTTTCAATGATGATGAAGGAAGAATCTCTGTTCAAGAAAATAATTAGCATAAATATATTAAAATATTTTTTGGAAGGAAAGCTGAACATCTTCCTTAGCTGTTTGCTAATGCTGCATATATTACTGGTTTTGCTGTGAAAGATTTGCTCCTTTTTTGCAGTTGTCTAGGATTGCTAAATTAACTAGAGTCTTAAACCAGAAAATTTCAAACCAAAACACTACATGCACATTGCAGGGAAGACTTTATAGCTACACACAAATTTGGACTGTAACTATGTTTTTGGAAAGGACGTTTTTATAACAGACTATGCTAAATTCCCTTGCAAAAGATTGTCATAGTTTTGGGTATTTCCAGCTGTGGGATACTTCTGACTTCCAGGTTTTGTGACCGATGTCCATCTGAGTCGATACTAGGATTAGCATGTATTGGTGGGGAGAGATGTGGAAGCTGGGATAAATGCTGATGTTGATGCAGTTGATGATGCAGAAAAATTTGCTGCAGAAGGCTGAGGAATTTCATGGGATCTGTTCCTGTGTTCCCCCATAGCAAGACTCCCTATGGCATCGATGCGGAGTTTTGTCAGAGCAAGTACAACAAAACAATGTCCATTGTGTCCATTTATATACTTCAGCCATAAAACACACTCTGGGACAAAGAGAATTTGTTGTGATATAGTTGTGCTTGGGTCACGATTGGAGTGCTGTAGACCAGTTTAAATGAAAAGCCATAAATTTGAATTTTATCTCATTTTGTGGGTCTAGAGCCGAGCATTATCTAATCAGGTATTGGTTAGCTAAAGTACAAATCGAACAGGGGGTCACCGGACAAGGGGAAAGGTCGAGCTTTTTTGCAGTTTGTCACTGAGGTTTTATATTTGCCGGCAGCCCGAATATCCAAGGGGGTCGGGAGGCTGTTGCTCCGTGGTTGTTTGAAAAGGGAAAATTGACTGCTGCTTAATCAACAAAGAAAACAAGCTTTTAAGGGATGGCAGTAATTTTTTTTTAAACAAAAGCAAGGGAACACAAATTTAGTGATTTCATCATGGTTCATGCCCTGCTATGAAAAACAACCGGGACAGTATTTCAAAGAAAGCCTTTGAATAGGTCACCAAAGCACATGCACCTATCTTCGACCAGCTTCTTCTGGAGTACGTAGAATATTTAAATTCAGGTCTTTCACTGCTATAGCAAACTCAAAGCCTCATTCACAGGTGCAATTTCTTCACAGCTTTTTTTTATCCTAAACTTTTATTTCTTTACTAGGAAAGTAAAAACAGGAGCAATAAACTCTAATAAATCAAACTTGTCACAGAAGTAAAAAATATTTCAGAGCTTTATAAAGCAGCATATAATCTGTTTATAGAGCAGAGTATATTTTCCTGTCATGACAGCGAGGCTGAAAAACATCTCAGTTTTGGTAGAGTATGCTTGAGTTGATGCTATTACTTCTAAATGGAAATTAGGAGGCTGTTTGCCTATTTGTTTACCTCTTCTCTAACGTTTTTGATGTACATTTTTGGGGAAAGCTGGACAATTTCTTAAAAATTTTTCTGGAGTAAAGGTTTCCCACTGATCTATAGGGACTGGAATAGTTGCAATTTTAAGTTTCAATTCTGCAATTTTTGGCTTTCTTTTGGCATTTTTTAAAAATGTAAATTTAGGTTTATTTGAGATTCTGGGTTTTTTCTATCTTTACGAAAATTAAATAATAAGTTACAAAATGTACAGGTATAGGCTTTTAGAATTGGAATCTAAGGTATATGCTCCCAAATCCAGCTTGTAGCGCCTGAACGGATAGCTTAGTTTTCTTGCTCTTGGCATCAAAAAACTTCCACTGTAATCAATGGGAGTTACTGGCTGATTCTGCTCTATGTATCGATATTATACCTCATTTTTGGGTCCTCCTTTGGAAAACCTTTGTCAGAATATTGAAAGCAGCATCTCTCTTTTTTTTTATAAAAACAGAACAGAAAGTAGCATCTTTTAAATAACTGGGCAGGGGATTCACACATCTTAAAACTCACGTTAAGCTATTCGTATTAAACAACGCTGGTGCTGAGGGAAATAACTCCCTTGTAGTCAGTGAAATCACACTGGGAGAGAGCAGTAGATTGTCTTTTGCAAAAAGGAAAAATGAAAGGAACGAAGACTTCATCACTTCCGAATACTTCTCTTAGGGATACGGAGTTTAT